TTTTGCGATTTAGCAGATCTAGCGTACTTTAAACAATCAAAGGTGCATAGGGTCTGCACACGTCCATAATCTCGTGTATCAACACATATGAAATTTGTATCCTACAAATACATAATATGTCATTTTCCCTTAGGTGTTTTGTCTTTCAAAATTTGTAAAATTCAGTTTTTAGTGGTAAGCATACCTGACTTCCAATTTGGTACTTGATGAGGAAGGACATTTCAACTAGTTCAAGAAAATCAAGATTTTAGAGCACTTGGTATTTCATCAAAATCCAATAAAATGAGATGAACTGCGTAAAGATCCAATCAAAGTACTTAGGAATCAGGGCACACCCTCGTAAAGTAGATGCAGAGCAAAGAGGAAGTCAAGGGTAAAGTTACATGTCATCTCGTGAGCGTTAAAACTAAAGAAACTTACACCAAACCTATGGGGTCGAGGGAAAGTTGTATTTAGAGGAAATAGCCTTAAATGCTTTCTTCACTCTAGACAAAATTTTAAAAATGCAAGCTAGAACTCACCTTAAGATGCTAGAAGGAAAAAATAACCAAACAAACCCAAAGGATCTAGGAAAAGGAAATTAAGATAGGAGACAATAATAATGGAGTAAACACAGGACTATTAAATCTTTGCTATAAAAATTCAGTATTAGGGTTCAGAAATGGTTGTCGACCCTTTCGGGTCAACCCCAACAAGGGTCCTCCTGCCTAAAAACAAACATATTGCTTCTCTGCTTATTGCTTTTCCTTTGCTACAAAACAGCAATAGCAGGAGCAGGAGTAATCCTCAAGACAATGTAAGTGGTCATAGTAAGGTCTAAAAATGCAATATTGTTGTAGTACAGTCTGGCAGTATCATGACTTCCTGTGTATATCTGCCAAGAGACTTGCCTCAGAATACTACAGACAAAAAAACCACACAACTTTAAAGGGAGCATGGAAGCTCTGTTTATCACACAAGGCCTCTGCACCTGCTCTGCGTGTGTCTATATTCTGCAGAAAGTTCCTAAACTACTTTTACCGAGGAACCAGCATTGACAGACCTGCAGGGATCGTATGAGCCAACTAGAGGTGAATCTGACTATATTTGTTTGCAGATGTTTTCAGACTCTTTCTGAACCATCTGTAGAAGTCAGATACCATGAATTTATGAGAAATTCTTTTACGTTTCCTTGTCTATAATAGATATTAGAAAACAGATATAAAGCTGATTTCAGTTGGTAAAGAGATTAAAATCTTCAGTGTGTTCTGGTTCCTTGAAACCTGATAATGCTGACTGGTCAGATTCCCAGAGCCCAGTTTACCTGCTGGACCAGTCCTCTTGAGAAACCAGCATCCTTGTGATAAGACGAGAACAGTGAAGTGAAACAGACACACTCGGGCAGGACCGTTAAGGTGCCTTGTGTTCGTAAGACTGGAGGCAGGCTCTGACTATGGAGCACCACTCAGAGGCCATCTGGGCCAGGACGAGGGGGGTCTGGGGCCCAGGGCAGCAGGGTGGGTCTCAGCCTCGGGCAAGAACCCAGTGAGGTGAAGTCGTTTTCTGTGCTGTGTCTCAGTCAGGGGTTTAAAAATGCAGAGATGGTGATGTACTTTCCTGATGTTACATGAAACCGCCTTATCCAGCTCCAAATTCAGGATCTGCATCGTGTTGAGGATAGGTGTCTGTAAGCCACAGGGCTGAGCCCACCCTCCATGTCCATGGGCAGGAGCCACATGCTGCCCACTTTTGGCTGCGCTGGTTTGCATCACACAGACACGACATCTGGAGGGAAGCCTCCCACGCGGATGCCTCTGTGACGTCCCGGGAGACCTCCTCACTTCTCAGAGATGTGCTACTTGCTTTTTTTAAATTTCCCAGATAATTTTGATGAAATTTTCATAATGGATTTTTAATGGCTGCCAGGTTAATGCCATCATATTAGCATTTGAAATTATTTCCTCCAGTTATTTAGAAGCACGCTCCTCACTAGCTGTTGAACTAAGCCATTGAATTATGTGCTTGAGGGTTTTCCCCACCACCATCTTCTGGGTGAGGGGTTTGTGAGTTAAACTGAGCTCTAGTCTGACCAGCTGGGGACTAGCTGGGATGTGGTGGGAAAGCCTCTGCTCTGGTTTCCTTGACGCTGGAGAGAGTGAGAATCAAGAGCTGAGGGGCACGCTCTGGCCCCACCCCCCTAGCTTCTCCCTGGCCTTCTTCCACAGAGGACGCACCTGGTCGCAGGGTCCCTGCAACCTGCCGAGAGGACGTGACCCGCAGACGCAATTTCCAGTCCAGAGGACGGGCTGTGTCTGCAGTCATCAGGATCGCCTGTCTCCGTCTTGACATTGTGGGAGGATGATCTTTCCTCACCTGGAAGAGATGGAAAGATCCTCAGGCCCCAAATCTGTTCCTGCCCACCCCACCCCACCCCATCCTACACAGCCCTGTGCCAGCTCTGTACAGTGGCCCCACGGACACTTGTCACAGTCCCCCAGCTCCACGCACTCCGGGTGCAGCCTGTCATGTGGCATCAGCACCCCTCACGGGTGGCCTCCAGGCGGCGTACCTGGTCCCCTTCCCGCCGGCTGCACACTCACCAGTGCAGGCTCTGACCAGCCTCACCAGGTGCAACCAACAGGGTCTGGCTCCAGGGCACACCCCTCACTTCCTGCTGGGGCTCCTGGAAGATGCCCAAGAGTGGGACTCGGGGGATCCTGGGATGCACATAAATATGCCAGAGATGGAGGGAGAGGTTATCTTTGGGAAAGGGGTCAGTAGAAGGAAGTCGTGAGTAATGCTGTGTCCGCAGGCCGCGTACATGGAGTCCTGAGGAGAGAACAGTCCCTGTCGGGGGTCCAGGGACGAGGAGAGGAGAGAAGAGGCCCCTTAAGGGGGAGATCTCTGAGCTGAACCTTAAGAAAAGCGGGGGAAGCTTCAAGGGCAGGCGGTGAGAGGAGAGTCGGGACTGGATGCAGTGGGGCAGCGCAGTCAGAATCACGGGGACGAACCTGTGGTGGCTGGTCCTCCAGGACCAGAGTCGGCGGGGAGCTGAGGAGGGCAGACGGCAAGTGCCCGGTCCCGCTCCTCATCCTGGTCCAGCCCCTACCATGCATCTCTGGGTCCCTGGGTCCCCTTGTTCTCTTCCCAGTGTCTCCTCTCCCCACGAATGGATGGGAACACGCCTGGTCGGTGAGGAGCGCCGATGGCTGTAGGCAGAGCTGGGCTTTGGCTCACCGACCCGTCCGCGCTGGGCCTCAGGGCCCCTCGGGTCTGTGCTCTCTGTACAGCTCCCAGTGGAAGGACGGGAGGGCCAGGCCTGATTCCAACGTCTCTTGGAGGCCCAGTGGCACAGTCTGATGCTAACATGTTTGTTTCTTGGTTGTCATTAAGAAATGATCTTACATTTAAATTCAGAATGAGCCTTTACCTCAGTAAGAGTTCTTCCTATTGGTGCAGTTTGTGTGTGTGTGTGTACTTTCCGTCATGTGAGAAACAAATGTTCCAATCGGGTTGCTAGGACCCCCCAGCAGAGCATCTCTGCCTGACTCCCCCATTTCCAACTGAGAACCGGTCTCCATGGACACCAGCCTGATGACAAGGGGAGACGGATGGTGTAAGAGATTCTTAGCATGAGGGACTCTTTGGAAAAGTAGAATGTGACTAATTTCTCTATGAAAGACACATTTTATAAGAAGGACATAAATATTCAGCATCTTGGCCTTGGACCCTTCACCCCCCACTTTTCAAGTCGGGAGGCCCACACCCGGAGCCTGCCTGGTAGCCTCCCCTCCTCCATCCGGGTTCCTTGTTTGACTCACAGCCCTACCCAGCTCTTTATTTATGAGACATGCCTCCTGTTTTCCACGGAAAATTGTTCCACTGAGCTTCCTGTAGGGATATTTTGGGAATAAGAACCTTGGCTTTTGATTTTTTTTCCCCTTCTACTTGGTTTAACAGCTCTGATTCCTAATTCCTTTGAATTTTCTGCCTCCCTTGCTGCTCTTTAGGCTAAAAAAATGTCTCTTTTAACATCTTGTTTTCAGTTTATAATACCTGTATGTATCTACAGCACAACGTTCTTTACCTCTGTGATATTTTCATTTTAGATAAACAACATGAAGTGTTTGAGGAGCAAAAACATTTTGCTGGCTTGCATTTTATCATCATGAAATGCAGAAAAGGTCTTGTGTGAGTTAAGTTTGCAGAGGGTTTCAGAGCTAGGGCCCTGCCTGAGACACTTCTCCAAGGCTGTCTTGACCTGTTTTTCTTTGAGGCTGAAGTGTAAGTTTTCATTGTGTTTTCTTTTCCTAAAACAGTGCCATGATTGATAAAAGATGAAGGATAGAATTTGGAAAGTTACTGCATTTAGATGTAAACGCCTAGTGAACCATGAGCCGCTGGAACTCCCTCTTAGCACTCATGGTTTTTGGGTGATTTGCCTGGACCTGCTGCATGTTAGTGTCCAGGTAGAATTGATCCATGAGACAAAGCCCCAACTCCACTCACTGGAGCCATGAGACTGGGCAGCTTCCACCCTGGACTCATGAGGAGGGTCAGCCAGCTTGCCACCTGAGCCCCTACTTGCTGTAGAGTGGCCGGAGCAGGTACTTCTCTGCACGGCCACCAGGTGTCGAGGAGCACACAACTGCAGGGCTGATGTCCCTGCGAGGCCAGGGGAGGCCCCTGCCTGCCGTCACCCTCTCTGCCAGTTCTGTCTTGCCTGGGAACTCCGGAGCCCGGCAGATACGATTAGGGCAATGCTTTGGTCTCATGTTTGTAATATCTGGGGGCTGGTGACTCAACCGTCCAGACCCAGACAAGAATTTTTTTAAAAAGACCAAAACAATCCCTTCAATTTCTTCATGGCTTATTTGAAACCTGACTGGGAACCAGAACCCTTTCAGGAATGGATTATCATGTGGGCCACAATGTAGGCATTTACAAGCATTTTTCAAACATGAATACGTCAACAAAGGGAGAGTTATCATGGATTATTTATACGATGAAGGTGTAGACACCTTCAGAATTGAAGTGGCAGGTGCAGGCTTCCCTCTGCGTGCGCCTCCCATGCCCTCCCGTGGCTCCCTGGCCTCCCATGCTGTGCATCGGCTCTGTGGAGGTGGCGGTGTCATCTGGCCATTCACTGTTGTCCACTCAGAGCCAAGAGTGTCCGGATGCAGGTGGAGAATACCCATACACGTGTGGACCTGAGTGAATGGAAAGCTGGCTTCTCTTAGTGACTCACCTTCTGAGTTGTGCATGCTCAGTGCTTAAAAGATCATTACCTATGCCTGTGTGTTTTGGTGGCTTTGTTCTAGGAGACAAGGGAAGCTGAGAATAAGCACGTTGCTCTGAGTGTCTGGCAAGACAGGTGAAGCCAGTTCCACGTGGTAGGGACCTTGTGCTGCTCACTTCTGCATTCTTGTTGCCAAGCCACCATGAGGCGCAAAGGATGCACCCAATAAATATTCATGGGATGAACCCATGAGCCGCAGTCACTCTGGACTTGAGCCCAAGATACCAGCCCTCTGGCTTACTGCTATCCTCTGGTCTTGACCCTGAGCTGATCTGAACTTCCTCTTCACCGGCCCAGGGCCCAGGTGCCTCCCTCCCGGGCGATCTGTCCTGCCTTCTGTACTCTGGCTGCAGAAAGACACAGTGCCTACATCACCACTAGGTGCTCCTCCACCTCCTCGCCTGGCCTGAACTCCAGCTGTCACCCAGGAGCACGCTGCCCCAAAGCCCCCTGAACCTCAGGGGCAGGAAGAGGGGTCAGCACCCTCGACTTCATTTTCACATTTTGTAAAACAAATCAGAACAGAAGCCCCCTCCCCATGGCCCATCGTGGGGTCAGGAAGCTGCCTGCCCCTCTTTATTGCTGACCTGAATTGGTGTCCCCGTCACCCTCTCCCGCAGCCCACAGCCCAGTGTCTGAAACACTTCCTGACATCCCAGGTGGCGCTGCCTCCACTCCCAGGGCCTCCCGTGGCCACACCCAGAGCTGCTCCCCATGAGGGTCTCCACTCCTCGGCCACGACCTCCACCCTCCCAGCTCTTCCTCTCCTGGTCTCTCCTGCACCTGCTTGTCGGCTGCACCAGGCCCACCTCCAGACGTCTTCCCCAGTTTTCTATCCCAGAAAACTGAATAAGTTCTCAAGCTCATAGCACATCAGCACAAAAGCAACAAAAACTGCTGAAAATGGCTCATGTCTCGTGGTTCCATCAAGCCCGCATCTTATGATTTAGTGACGGAATGACATGCGGATATAAAGCACTGTAATTAAATCAAAAGGAAAAGAGTTGCTCGCAGTGCTACCTGAGTCAGGGGAGGATGGCTGATGTCACCAGTGATGTCATGATGTGGGTAAGGGACGCACAGGAAACCCCTGTATTGTCTTTGCCAGTTTTACCAAAATAGAGAATTATCTACCTAAGATCCCTTTCTGATGATTCCAACATCTCTTTGAGTCAGTTATGCCAGGGCAGAGTGATCTCTAGGCCCCCACATTAGACCTCACGGTGTATTCCTCACCCCAAATACCATGCTGAATCACAGGATATCCATGCATCCATGCATCCATTCAACCATCCATCTACCCATATCTGTCCATCCATCCATCCATCTGTCTGTCCAGTACCAACCAGCACTTCAGACCAGGCGTGGGAGAAATGCTGGTGAGAAAGTAGTGAGCAAAACAGACCTTGTCCATCCCATCTTGAAGGTCATGTCAGCGGAGAAGACAGACATATACGGGAAGACAGTGAGTGACGTGGCCCTGTGGGACCCCGTGGGAAACAAAGAAGGAAAACCAAGGCAGCCTTCAGCCAAGAGCACCTCTGAGTGTCCTGACGTGGCTCTCATAGTCCTGCCCCAGCACCACTGACCCCTGCACTATGTTGCAGAACTTCATCACATTATGTAAGTTCATGATCGACGAAGCTAGTAAATCATTCAGCAGGAAAACTCCGCGATGCTATACCTCTCAGTGGGTTGTCCAATAATGCACACAGGACATAAAACATATTCAATGACATCTGTGCAGGAAAAAACTTTTTTAGGAGGCGATCAGGCCCTGAGGCCACTGCGTAGTCAGGGGTGATGTCCGAGATCCTCCATGTGCGAGCTCCAGAGCGGGTACAGGTGGGGTGGGGTGGGAGATGACAGCGGGCACTGGAGAATGGCCAGTCTCCCTGGATTCCATCCCCACCCCCCAGATCTGTGCAGAGACAGAGAGAAGGAAGCGAGACTGGAGCTCTGGGTATAATGTCCTCTGTAGCCCTGAAGCAAGTCTCACCCCAGTAAACCACACAGAGCTCCCCTGACCGTTCAGAGCAGTGTGGGCATGGAGGAGTGTGAGCAGGTAACACAGACTCGGGTAACAGGGAAATAAAACATCCTCCCGGGCCAGGGGGCAGGTGAACAACACTTGGCTGAAGACACCATCTCCTTAATGATGAGAGGACAGGATTCACACTAGAAATGCGTGGTATTGTGTAGGCTTTTCAACCAGCACCTCACCCCCCTCCTTGTGAACTGCCTGAACGTGGCAGAATCATCCCTTTCTAGAAGGAAGTCTGCGTATCCGGAGCCTCACAGGAGCCTAGAGCTCACCTAGACACATGGGACAGAGGGCAGCAAGTGCAGAGGGCAGGAAGGCAGACGGCAGAACCGATGCAACCGCAGCCAGGCTTCAGTCTGCTCTGAAGAGCTTCAGTGGACGTACCCGAGGGCAATAATAGCAATGCCGCCACTGCCACTGTGCGGGGCTCTAGAGAAAGCCTGTGCCTGGGCTGCCATGTTCAGTCTGTATAGCGGGTCTGATTCCCCAGAGTCCTAAGCCTTAGGACGGAAGTGCCTCACCCCACTGGTTTCCCAGGTGGCCCAATGGTAAAGAATCCGCCTGCCGATGCCAGGAGACGTGGGTTTGATCCCTGGGTCAGGAAGATGGCCCTGGAGGAGGACATGGCAACCCACTCCAGTATTCATGCCGGGAGAATCCCGTAGACAGAGGAGCCTGGCGGACTACAGTCCATGGGGTCACAGAGAGCCGGACACCACTGAGCGCGGCACGGCCTCACCCCATGTGCTCAATTGCTTCTTTAAGATGGACCCAGGATATGAACCTTGGTCTGACTCGGTGGTCTGGAGCTCGTGGCACCGTGCTCATCCAAGATGGCATCCTTGCTGCTGACGTGTTTTGTTGCCCCATGTATGACAGCGGGAGTGAGGAGGAGGTTCTTGGCATCATCACCCACTATGTGATCTTTCCAGAAGACCGTTGGCTCTGTTGTTGTGTTGGCAAAAGTTTTAACATCGTGAGGCTTTAAAGAATTTTTGAGAGAGAGGGGCCTCTCTGTGCTCACTTTATTAACAGCTGTCCCTGGGGCTCCAGTAGCCAGAGGACTTAAAGAAATGAGGATCTGCAGTTGGTTGCAGCATGTTATTGATGGTTTTGTTGGCAGAGTTAGTTGGCAACATGTGCCTGCTATATTAATAATTCAACTCATATGTCCTTTTCTCATTTTGTTTATAGAAAATAAAAGAAGTATGCATATCCAGTCAAGGATAATAAGAGTGAATTGCAGAAACTAAAGTTGAACACAGAAGTATGAAAACAGAAGTATGTGAGGGAAAAAGTTATTCTTTGTCACATGGTAAACATTTTCTCCGAATCACAAGAAGTGGTCGTGACTAACCCTAGGAAAAAGAAACAAAACAAAACATCTAGAGTCACCGATGCAAATTTATTTTTTTTTAAAGTCCCTGAACCACTGTCAAAAACCATTGTCCCTGTTTAAGCAAGTACCCTTTTTCAACACTATTCTGGATTGAGACGGTCTTAGAATTTTCATACCTGGATAAACTGAATGAAGCCTTGAAAAGATACTGGATAAGATGGAGGGAGACACAGAAAGGGATATCGACAAGCAAGCCTGTGTATGGCCTGGCACATCGTGATGGATGCTCAGACTGACCCCCTCGCAGGTCCACCTCCGCCATGGGTGCCCGTTGGGCAGACGTCAGCTGCCCTGTTACATCAGGGCTCCTGTGACATCCCCCCTGGGCTGACAAACAGTCCTCATCACAGGGTCATGTAGACTGTGCCCCGCCCCCCCCCCCCCGAACCTCCCACTTCTGCACAGTTCAGTCCCCTGCTTCTGGCTCCTGTTCCCGAGCTTCTGTTAAAACCACATGCTGGAATGTTACCAGGGGTCTGTGTGCGAAACCAGAGGCCCTTCTTTCTCCCTCTCCACACCCCTCTGTGCCATGATGCTCTTGGCAGCTCAGAAGTCTCCTCCCCTGGCCTCGCTTTGGTCCAGGTTCTTCTCCAGCCTTTGATGCCTCCTCCTCAGTGTCTGTCACTGGTTCCTTTTCTTTTACCATCTTCTTTAAGCGTCACCCAAGATTTCATCCTTGACTGTCTCATCCAGCGCTAAACCCGATGCACAAATGGCTCCCCAGCTCCCACATCCAAACCAAACCATCTCCCAAATTCCAGACTTGGTTTAGCCTGGAAACTGAAAACTCAGCCTTTTTCTATTTTACTACCAATTGTAAAGCATTTTTTAATATTCTCAAATGGTTTCTTTCTTTAAAAAAATGTATCCTATTCTTATTTCATGGCTACAGTATCTTCTTTCTTTTTTTTAAGTTGAAATATGGTTGATTTACAATATTGTGTTAATTTCTTCTGTACAGCAAAATGACTCAGTTGTGCACATATATATTTGTTTTCAAATTCTTTTCCATTATGCTTTATCACAGGATATTGAATATAGTTCCCTGTGTGGTAGAGTAGGACCTTGTTGTTTATCCATCCTGTATATAATAGCTTGCATCTGCTAATCTCAAACTCCCAGTCCATCCCTCCCCTCCCCTACCCCTCTGGCAACCACAAGTCTGTTCTCTATGTCTGTGAGTCTGTTTCTGTTTCATAGATAGGTTCATTTGTCATATTTTAGATTCTACAGGCAAGTGGTTTCACATGGTATTTGTCTTTCTCTTTCTGACGTTCTTCACTTCACAGTATGATCATCTCTAATTGCATCCATGTTGCTACAAATGGCATTTTCTTTTTTCTGACCGAGCAATATCTCCCTGTACA